GTGTGTAGTAAAGAATTAGAAAATCATTGAGTGCATTAAGAGTTAAGATATAAGTATTTTTTTTTAAGTCGTAAATCTTTTGGACATTAATTAAAATTGTCTAAAATTATATTAATAAGAATTGTCAATAAAAAAATTATATAGAATAGAAATTTTATTCTATTAAATACCTACATTTATCGCATAAAAAATATACTCCTTCCTTCCGCCTCCGAATTATCATCTCTTTTTTTTTTTAAATGTACATATATACTTTTTTCTTGTAATTCAAATATAATGACCCTAATCGCGTGCAGCCCATTGCACTTCGACTCAGTTTTTTTTATTTCGTTCGCATCAGTTCGCGTACTTGCGTGATAAATATGTTTATACGTGCTGGTTCGATATGTGACGATTAATTTTTAATAAGAATCAAAACAGATCACTCGTACCGTTCAACGTTAGAACTTGCGATCTTCAATTCCTATTTTCGTTTCATCGATTTTACGAATTATAAAATTCCCAACACACGAAAAGAGAACAAAGAAAGTAAGCCAGCAAACGAGAGAGAGAGAGAGAGAGAGAGAGAGAGAGAGAGAGAGAGAGAGAGAGAGAACAAAACGAGCAAAACGGTAAATACTTCGCTCTTTGGAGTCGACGTGAAACCGTTACATCGTTAATGGTATCGAAGCTTTACCTCGCGAAGGTTCTGCTTGGTTTCATTACAAAGATGTCATGCGCAGGTACGTCGCAGTTATACCCGCTTTTGACGTCCCGCTCGCGTTGTATACACACTTGGCGTTAAACCGGAACGGCCACGGTGCGCCAGGAAAATTATGAAATGCTAAAACGAAAACGAATTTCGCGGGACCGAATATCGTTCCGATATTTGCAATTAACTCTTTTATTTCGCCCGCGACACACGCGCGTTCCCAGCTAGCGTGCGAGCGATAATATATATATTCCCAGTGATCAAAAATATCGGTAACTTTTCCCGTAGTCCGAACTGCGGAAATCCGAACTGCGCCCGACCTAATCCCGACGATAAAAAAATCTGCGCTTTCAATTAACGAAGCGGTTTGTCCCATTTACCGGGTGTATCGGGTTAGCGGGGCACAAACGCGTTAAACGAACGAACTTTTTCCACGGGACTAACGAGAGGATAATCGAGGACGTCATCGTGTGCGCGGATAATTAATCACCGCGCTGGTCCATCAACATTCGTCACCCTACGTTTCTACACAGTTTTATCTTTTAAATAGTCCGCCACGTGGCTAAGGCGATCCCATGACTGATGTTGGTTCGGACACGCAGTATTAATATATAAACAAAAGTCGCAAATTACACATAAGTTTGTAATTAGACATCCGTTTATAAATCGCTTTAAAAATCGACATAACTTGCTGATATTTTCGTTCCTTCTTCGTTTTCCTTATTACATATTTAAGCATTCGACATTATTATCGTCTTATTATGTTAATATTATTATTGGCTTCGTTTTATTCGCACTCTCTTTCGTTATGTCGAGAAATTTCCATTATAGTTTTTTAGTTTTATAATTTAAAATAAAAGTAATGAAGACCAAGTATAGATCTAAACATATTCTTTTCATTTAACAAAGTAAGTATACATTTTTGTGACGGACTACATCTTATATTGCTTCTTTTTAAAATTTTGTTTTGAAAAACAACATTGGCGGCTTAAACAAAATCAAAGTTGACTTTTAGTTAATATATTATTCAAAATAGAAGAAATACGCGAGCATTCTTTTCTTTTTCGGGAGAAAATAATCGTTTAGTTCATTGGACCATTTTATCCAATATTAGGTAATAATAACAGTCAACAAATTTGGGGTACATGTAATTGCACGTCATTTCTCGCTGATAATTAAGCCCAAATTTTGGCAATTTCGGTTTCGTAACCGTCATAGCCATCATGTCAGTGAATTATCATAAATATGATTTCGCGGCCTTGAGTGATAATTTTATTTGTATTTAATATACACATAATAATAATAATAATAATGCAAATATTTTATTGTTGATTTCTAATCTATCTTTAATTTAAAGAGTTTATAACTTAAACAAAAACGATCCATTCTTAATATCAATTTTTCATATATTTTACATTTATTTAATATAATTATATTTTTAAATCAGTCTAAATATAATTCATAGAATTGTATAATTCATAGAATCATATCTAGAATGTCCTAAAGTACAAAATAACTAGTCAGTCAGATCTCTTTGTCTTTCAAATCTTTAAAATTTTAATTTTTTATTAAAAAATACATTTTATATTTAATGTTGAAAATTTTATCATGTCACGGCTCTCTCTCGTTCTAAGCTGTATGTAGGTGACTGATGCAACAAACAATCGATCGACACTTAATATATCCACAGAAATATCGGATGGCGTTCGCAGGTGTGCCGATGGTATGGCCGGTTCGTCAGTGTCAGCGAAAATTGTCGGACACATGGTTAACTATGCGGGGGGTTGTTGAACGTTTAGGTGCGCGAATAGGTAGCAACAGTGTACCGATACAATTGCCGGCACTTCTATATAGGCGAGTGAGGTATGAATCTATTCCGCCGTTGCGCATCCTGCAACCGACCTCGACGACACGTGCTATTCAATCATCTGCGGATTATCGATAAAATTTCCTGTAAGCTGGAATTTTCAATTCGAAATACATATAATGTTGCTAGCAATTTCGACACGGTCAATTTCTTTCAAAGAAAGAAGTAAAGAAAACAGAGAAATATAGCGACATTATGGGCTTAAAAAAGTGACGGATCATCTCTCATTTCATTCGTCATTTAATTTAATTTACATCTCTCCTAAAACATTGAGGATCTCGATCTTACTTTTATTTTAACTAAAATTCTTAATTTAAAATCTCCGCTTTTTCTAAGGACTTTTCTCTTAATATACGTTGATTGCGGGTATCTTTTAATTTTGATAATTACTATGTAAAATATAATTAAATTTGCGTGACTTTTCTCTACTAATTATTTTCGTACAATGCCTCAGAGGACACGTAACAAATTTTACTGTTATTCTCAGAGCAATCTGAGGCTACTCAATGCAAATGTCCATCGGTTCGCGGAACTTACGTGCCACCGTTAACGCTCGCTAATTACATGCTACCCGGAAAAGGCAACTCACGGACGGTACCGCTGTGACGCGAGGTACGTAACGCAACGCAGCTAGAGAGGTAGCTCACCGGAAGGTACCGATGAGAGACCAAGAGAGCAAGCGGAGGTCGAGTCTCTCTCCGCGGTCGTAACTCTTGATTCTCTTTGAAGCGCGGAAGCTGCCCGCAACACCTGACTGACTCGACGGACGCGTATATGGCAGGTCGAGCGGAGCAGCAGCGGCAGACAGAGCTCACTGGGGATGAGGTAGGTGAGGGGGTGAGACGACGAGCAAAAGCGGAAGGCAACCACCAGGGTGGGCCATGAGTGAGCGAGAGACAGAGGGTAAGCGAGAGAGAGAGAGAGACAGAGAGAGAGAGAGAGAGAGAGAGACAGAGAGAGATAGAATGCGAGGAAGTGGAAGGGAGGCAGAAAGAGAAAGATTAATAATATAGGAAAGCCAAAGCCACGCCGCAGCCCCTGACAAGCTTTCCTCCGCCTCTCTTCTGTTGCCAACAGTTAATCGATATAATACTTCGGTATAACACGCCGCACCGACGAGCATACGTGCACGCGTGTACGCGTTCCTTGCCGCACGCGTGTACATACGCGAGTCTCGAAATACAGGATACTTCCATCAGCGGTGCACTTCGTAAACGGTGTCCCCGTTTAACGAGGTCTTGTCGCGCTGAAAGCACGATCCTTTCCTTTCGGTGTCTACGTTAATGATTTATCAAAGTGAGATTTGGGAATATCCGAGTGCACTCTCCAAATACGCGTCATAACTTATTACACATGTATATAAAGTCATTTATTACTAATAAGTGACTTTGTGTACGTGTGCTTTAGCTTTCCGTGTAAGAATAACACGGTTTTAACGTGTAAAGTCGATTATTTGTAAGCATATATTATATTATAATGTGTGATTTTTGAACTAATCATACATATATGTAAAGACACTTATTACATATTTGACTTTACAGTGTGAATTTTGATTTTAGCTTTATTTGACGTATTTCTGTTAAACGTGACAGATTGAATTATACATTGATTTTTATAATTAGGCTAACAATAGTCTTTATAAGCTTCTCGAATTTAATTCTTCATAATTTATTATAAAATCTTTATACCTATATTATCATAAATATAAAATAAAAATCTGATTCAATTATGATTATAATATCAACCAAAATTGTCAGATAATGTTGCAGTTGCATCATATTGGTATATCATAATTATTACACGGAAAGAACGGCTTTTGCTGAAGAATCTAAAAATTTAGCTAAACGCAAGACTAAAAATATTTTGGATTATCAAAATAATTATATGACGCTCAAGCATGATGAGAAATGTTGCAAGAAATGTTGAAATTCTAGCAACCACCTTTAGTTTTCCATATATATTTATTTTGATGATTCGACAAAATTATTTACAAATCTGTATCCAACTAAATTTTTTTAATTATTTTCAGATCTCAATTAAATTATTATTTTTTTAAATTTCTCTCCAGCAAAACTGTTTCTTTCCGTGTATAACGATATTTGTATCATTTCTTTGGTATAATATGTTTTGTTTCGTATAGTATTTACTGCCAAATCGATGCACTGCAGTTTAATGTAATTATCGGAAGTGTAAGTTGCTAGGACGAAACAAGAGCTATACACGATTTATACGTTGTAAGTGGCATATACCGAGGAAATGGCAATGCATACTGAAAGACGTACGCGGGAGATGAGAGAGCGTAAAGATCGACAAGCGCGGTTCGCGCGAACATTGCGGAAGCGCGCGGCGGATACGAATTCATAGCGCGCTTCCGCCACGGTTAATCGTGACGTGCGCCGCCGGGGAACCGATTATTGGCAAACACCGTGCGAAAGGGTGCACCTGACAAGGGTTTTCGTCGCGCTGTTCGGTCCTTATCTCCGTGCTCTCATCGAAGAAAACTCCAAGTTCCCTCCGGTAGTCGTTACCCCACGGCGATTCATCCATCCCTCTCGTCTACGGCATTACATGCGTACTCTTTGCGCTTCGATAGCTTGATTCTCCGATATTTGGCACGATAAGTTCTCTCGGAAATATATATTCACGATGGCTGATGGGTATTACGAGCGATTAGTTTTTAAGGTTCGTTCAGTTTTGTTGATAAAACTAGTATTTTTTTTGTATTAAACAATAATGATACTTGAAAAAATTTTGTACGTTCAAAATTATTATTATTAAATTGTTAAATTTCTTCTTAGTAAGCAATAATTTACAAATAGCTACATGTAAAGAATGGATAAATGTCTTCCTGAAACATATAAAAATCCAGCTAGATACACATGTAAAAATAATTTTGTTGAGCCATCAAAATAATTACTATAATGCTGCAAAGAAGTTTTACAATTATGTAGGACGCTTAAATTGGTTGCTAGAATATCAAAATTCCTTTGCAGCGTTGCTTGTTATACTTGAGATTTCTACGTAATTATTTTAATAATTCATTAAAATTATTTTCTGTGTATAAATTTTTAAATATTTCAACAAAATCGTTTTTTTTTTTTTCATATATAGTAAGTATACAAACATGTGCCATGTAAATTCAGAGCAACTTTGACAATTTTTAGATGTTCTAAAATTATATATTTATTAGTAAAGATTTATATACCATGTCCAAAGATACAAAAATTAACACATTTCGTGATTTTCTGAAATGTATTTTGTATTATAAGAATGTCATTCTTTTCGCGCCATAGTTTCACATGTCGAATGGTCGAAAGGTACGGCGGAAAGGTCAAAACATGGCATTTCTCATTAATAGCGGAATCGATACAAGAGCCATGTACGTGAAGTTCTTTTGGTAAAAATTATGGTATAATCGTAATGTTGCAGTGCAGTGCACTAAAATGACAGCAGCTTTGTGCAGCACGCGATTTCCTAGTTATCATGTTCCCAATATTACGAGGCCCATAGCTTTGTAACGCGAACTTTGCAGACATATGGCCACGTGCGATTATGTGCCTTTTGAATTTATTTTAATGCTCAAACACACATGTTCCGCAGAGTTACACGTTCTTCTTCAGACGCTCCGCACAATGAAGCTATTATTTCTCGTGTAAAAATACTGTCATTACGAATGTTCACAATTGCACATACTGTCACATGATAGAT